GGGGCAGTCTTAAAGGCCGGGAATTGAGTTTGAGATGAGTCACCAGAAGAGCGAGACACCTCCTGCAAAGATAAAAATAAAGTTAGTAATGCAAGGGAGAAGATCCAGTAATGAAAAGTAAAAGACGAAGAAATAAACCTCATTCGGGCATTTTTGAGGAGTCCGTTGAAGAACAGAAGGCGGCTCATCGTCGTTCTGGGCCTGACGGCGGATCTCATGTTGCTATTTTTTCAAAAGAAAATGAGGATCCAAATAAGCCAAAGGGTGTGAAAACCTTACTTTCCGGGTTACGACTCGAAGTTTCTGTCTTGGCAAATGGGCTGAGTCACAGGAAATAGTTACCTCTTCTTCTACGGCCTGACTGGCCCCCGTGTCGTCCTCGCAATGATCAGTGTTAATAAGATTATTAAAAAGCTGGCCAAGGGAGTCAAGGGCTACCTCCGATTCAGAAGTGTCATCGTCAAGTCTCAACAGATCCTCAGCGGTGCTTTTCTTCTTCTTCTTAGATCTCCGGGTCGTCTTCTTGGCAATTATGGCGGCGGCTCTAGCTTTCTTGTCGGCTTCGTGGTCGTACTTGGCTTTCCAGAAGTCAGATTTGGCCTATAAGCAAATAAGCAAGATGAAAGGTCGTGCAGGTATTTAAAACAATTGAGAAAAATACAAAGAGGAAGAGAGTAGAGGTTCTTTACCTCTGTCACCGGGTTAAGCTGGCAGAAGGGGTTTAACCCGACTTTACTGCAATCTTCGTATTTTCCGTTCACCAGAAGGGTTGACATTGCAACAATATCTTCTTCATTTAATTGAACGGAGCTGTGATGAAGAGAGTCGTCTGGGCCTCCACCGTATTCATACATCAATTTGGATCGGCGGCTTAGAGGGATGACCCGCCACGCAACCCAGCACCGGGTCAAATCAACTCCGGTTAAGCCATTCCCCAATAAAGCGTTAATCCTTTTAATGGATGGAATCAGCTTCTTGTGTTCGCTGACAGTGAGTTTGTCAGGGAGTGCAAACTTGGAGTCAAGACGCTCTGCGCGATAACTCGACAGCGGCTTCTCATTTGCTGGTGAAGTGTCTTGACAATAGAACCAAGTCTGATTCCAGTCCTTGGGATAACTCGGCAAGACTATTAGGAGGAAGACGGTGCCATGTCGATGCTGAATTGAGATACCCCCAAGTTCCAAGCTAGGGCCATTGGTGCACTCGTTCTGGTGGTTCAGATAAAAATACTCTCTAAAGAGTTCCACAGTCAGTTCTTCTTGAAGGTATGCCTCGCAGAGGACTTGGAAGTTGCAGATATTGGATATAGAATTAGGCCCGATGTCTTGAGGGTGGAGTTTGAAAAAATGGAGGACATCTCTGAAGAACTTTGAGTCGGGTGGGGAAAAGCCACGGTTCATGTGATCAGAAAAGACGATAACTTCACCATCTTTTGGATTGGGCCGTTCCTCGTCCGGGTTAGGTGCACGATAAGACATGACATTCTTCCCTGGCAAAAATCCTATGGAGAAGAACTCCTTCAAATTGTCCTCAGTTACTGTTGAGGGAACCCAGTTGCAGACAGTCGGTGCTTTGGACGACATGATGTTCAAAAGACGAACTGAAAAGAAAGCAACATGCCGGTTCAATTCAATGATAATGGTACAGGGGAGTAATGGCGGCTTAAGTAAGGGCTAATGTCATATAAGGACACGTAAGCCAGCGCAATAAGCCGCCATGACTACAAATATTTGAGAAAACAGATTCGGCTAAGTGTTGAGACAAACAAGTTTCCTAATTGCTTGATATTATTCCAGATCAAATGGCTATTCAAAATGGAAAAATTCTAGACCTAAATTTTTTGCACAGATGAGTTTGTGAGTCCTAATGAGGCCTTTATACTGGGAAAAGGGATCTATCAGTGTCAAGAGCAGGCACAAAAACAACTACCCCACAAGCATATATCTCTTTGGGGATCAAGAAGAGGCTGCAGTTGAAGAACTACGGAGAAACTGCGATGAACTGCGAAGAACATGCAGAGACCTAGAAAGCCCTAATGCAGATCTAAGGAGCAAGAAGGGAAACGCTTACAGCCACAGATCTTCCGCGGAAGGTCGCCGCCGTTTTCTAGATTCAAATCCGGTCGATGTAGCGGCCAAGGTCGGCGGAGGTGAAGGGCTCTCTGACGCGACGGAGCTCGAGTAGCAGCGGAGGTCGCGAGAGGAGGAAGACGAAGAAGAGAGGAGAATGAGAAAGACCGGGGCGTGCCTATTTATAAGGGGATAAGTGAACAGGCGGGTGCGAAAAACGAGAAAGACCCATATAATGATTATCCAACCAAACCGGCGCCTCGATTCTCGGAAAGCATTAAAGATGAAGAACCGTTGAGAAGATGACGTCATGATAGTTTTTTGTGTTTTCAAGAGATGACGTCATGGCGGGTTACAAAATTTTTTGCGAAGAGAAGATGGATTTTGTCTAAGTATTGAAGATTGATAAAGAACAAAGTTCAAAGTCAACCTGGGGCCTAATGTTGGGGATATAGCTATCAGTTATGACCCGCCCAGGAGGGGCCGGGTCAGCCCCAATGACAGGTCATAAAGGAAGCCCAGAAAACAGTCAAGGCGATAGTTCATTAAGGCTTATAGAAGGCCTAAGCCCAGAGGCGGCTTAAGGCCCAATATTGTAAACCACCGTATGTAAGGAAAGACTTGTAAGGAAAGACATGTAAAAGAAGTCATTGAGCCGGACATGCTTTATTAGCCGGCCGGGACTCTGTAGGCCACCAGGCGTCAACCCGTGTATATAAGGGGATGACCTGGTGGCGGCTTAGGGCAAGAAACAAGAGATCGATAACCAAGCCGTCGGATTAGCCTCTTGGTGATCGAAACCCCAGCAATTCCAACACAACTAGACGTAGGCTTTTACCTTCTTCGTAAGGGGCCGAACTAGTATAAAATCTCTCGTGTCCTTTGTCCCGATTAACCCGTTTAAACTTCCTAGTTGCGATGGCTCTACGACTAAGTCCTTTTGCTAGGACATCTGCCGTGACAATTCCACGACAGTATTGCCTTGACAATAGTGGTCCACTGAGGATAGATACCGTCACCCAAATAGTACCCTTTGTCGTAGTTGTGGCCGTTGACAGTAAAGTTCACCGATGGGCTGTTGCCTTTGGCAAGCCTATCAAACACCGGCGAGCGATGAAGCACGTTGATATCATTGTGTGATCCAGCCATGCCAAAGAAAGAGTGCCAGATCCAGAGATCTTGAGACGCCACGGCCTCTAGTATGACAGTGCAAGCCCTGACATGTCCCTTATACTGCCCTTGCCAAGCAGAAGGGCAGTTCTTCCACTCCCAGTGCATGCAGTCTATGCTGCCAAGCATCCCTGGGAAGCCCCTGCTGGCATTCATCGCCAACAAATTGGTTGTATCTTCAGTTGTCGGCTCTCTCAAGTACTCAGGGCCAAACACAGCAATCACAGCCTTGCAGAACTTATACAGGGACTCTAGGCATGTAGACTCGCTCATATGGACGTACTTGTCAATGAGATCACCGAGCACTCCGTATGCAAGCATTCGGATGGCAGCAGTGCATTTCTGATAAGAGGAGAAACCAATCTTGCCGACGGCATCCTCTTTGCACTCGAAGTAGTCATCATAGCCGACCACTCCCTCTCTAATACGGTTGAAAACATGCCTACTCATACGGAACCGACGGCGGAATTTGTGATGTTTGAACAACGGGTTTGTTTCTATCAAAGTAGTCCTTCCAGAGAAGGAAATGCCCGCTCTCGTTTACGATTCAACGCCGGAAGGTGGCCCGGAATGGAGCCACGAAACAACGGCCGCTAGTTGTTCAGGTGGTGATGGACCAAGACGGCAGCCAATATCTCCTCCTCGTCGTCGGACGACGAATCGTCGGAGTCGCAACGGAAATTGTGGAAAAAGAACTCGTCGGCGGAGTCCATTTTCGTACCTTGGCAAACTGTCGAACAGCTTGCGGGCGTCGAAGAAGGAGACGGTCGGCGAGGGAAGACGCGGCGCCCACAGACCAACTAGCTGCCCTGCCGGCGTCCTCTGAGTGTGACGGCGTCCGACGAGCGTGCCGGTCGTATGTGGCGGGGGCGGCGAGGCATCTTCTTGGTCGCAGGCGGCTGGGCGTTGGGGGAAGCGCCGGCGGGAACCAGTTTGCTCCCCGGCGACAAAACGGCGGCGACGGGCGACTGAGGGGAGGGGCGGCGTTGCTGGGCGGATGTGGAGGCGACGGCAGCTGGAAGAGTCGCCGGCAAAAATGGGCGGCGGCTTCAGTGAGGAGGCGGGGGCGAGGGTTGCTTGTTGGCCGGGATGGGGGATGTGAGGGGAGGCCAATGTGTCACAAACCAGCGGGCCCGAGGACAGGAGTTGGCGAGCGCACGCGTCTGTCACGTGTCCGCGCCGACGCAAATCAGACTCAAAAATGGGCCGGAAATAGGTCGCTCGCGGACGAAAAACGGGCGCGCATCCGTTTGGGTCCGCACGTTGGGCCGCTTTTTCTGTGACGGCCGCGGACGAAATGGGTAGCCCCATTAGAGTTGCTCTTAAGACTTCGAGAAACAAGTTGAGACTATTGAGATCATTCCAGTCCATAAAGTTGATACACAACAATTCTAGAATCCAGTACAGATCATATAACACCTGCTAACTGTCACGAAGCTCCATGGAGTCGGCTTTCTCTCGGCTGCATAAGCTGTATATTACCACCAGCTTCTCCACGACCTTCAAGCTTCCTCAGAATTTGCTACCAGCGAAGATGAAAATTTCCACTGCCTTATACCCCCTCTGTCCAGCGGAGGGAGTAATAACTAACTACATATATGCAGCACAATGCCACAATCCACCTACTGTCCAGTTTCGGTACTCCTTTCCCTGCAAAGTCATAAAGAAATTACAGTTACATCACTAAATTTAACATGCAGGAAATAAAGATGACGTGAGAAACATACACTTGGAATGCATGAACATCCTTGCGGAAGTTCTCTAGTTCCTCTGGATCAAAGGTGCCATCATCAAACTATTCATAGACCAACAAATTAGAGAAGCATTTGTTAAGTAGAACAAGGGAGTGAGAAGATGGAAATGCATGACAGTATGGCACACCAGCTGGCTGAAATCTTCTTCCAGTGTTTTATTCCGAAGAACTTCTGCCAATTTTCCGTTTTGAAGAAAACAGTGGATGAAGTAAAGAACATATATACCACATTCCTCCCCATTTTGCTGTGGCACCTGCACAGTTTTGTTGTGGATGATGACAAGAACTCTAGATTCAAAAAGCAATTATTAAACATCATACCTTAGGAAACTCAAGACGGATTTTTTTTATGAAGTGCACACTTTCTTCCCGCTCTTCGATTTCATAAATACCACGAATGAATCTGATAAAGCAGCAAAGAAAAGATTAAATAAAACAGGGAGTTATAGGGCTGTGAGCATGATACAGTATTGTTGCTTATGTGCTATCACAAGCATATTCAGTCTGTTGGTGTTATCCCTTACATGGTATGTCTTGCATGCAAGTAAAATTGGGAATTAATGAAATGCGAGGTTGGTTGCTTTTAAACAAATGCACTAACGGGTCTGACCCAATCAAGGTGCTCAGGCACCTGGGTGCCCCAGATAATTTACCTATACATATATAACTAAAGTAATTTTCAACAAAAATAGACTAAAAACCTCCAGGATAAATGACAAGGACCGCTAAATACACATCACTAACTATGTTCAGCAAGGGTTAGATGATTTGTGATGTGATGTGCGAAGCTGGATTTTGATGAGCGCACATTCTGCTACTGTCTTGGGCTGACTCACTGGCATGGATACTATTCATGGCATAATCTTCATGAGTGACAACAGGAGTACAGGTAACCCTGTTGTCTACTTCAACAGTGCATACAAGTCTCAACCAAAAGAACATCATCTTGTTTCTAATATATGAATCGTCTACTAGACACAACAACTGGTCAGTCAGATAACCGTAATATAGCAAAACATGTGCATCATCATTAAGATCAGTATTATACTTATATTAGAGGTATGAGATGAAGGTATAGAAGGACCATACCCTCTTATTTCAGGTGCCAACCTCTTCGGATCTGTTGTGTTAAGTGAATCCAGCAGCAGCATTCGCGGTCCTTTTTTTGCATCTGAGCAGTCTGTCTCGTCAAAGTGGCATAGGACAAGGAGGTTCCAATGTCCCCTGCAGTTACGAAAGTGGAAATCCCATTGCTCTTTTGCAATCAAATAAGTTAATCCACGAGGTAAAACAAGACTGACCTACCAACGAACAATAGGGACAAACACATATTTTCTTGAAAATATTTTCAATTTCTTTGTCCATCTAAGAATTCTTGATTTCTGTTCTTTGTCCCCATTAACGTAACTGTTAAACCATAATGGATCCAAATATGCGCAAGCATTCTTCTGATCTTCATCTGTACGCTTCCAAAGGTTCCTATATGCACAAATTTACAGCAGCAAATAAGCATACAAAATTTCTCC